GGACTGTATATTCCGTCTGATCACCTTTCCTGGGCTTCCCACATTATGTTAGTTTCCAGAAAGATATTTCGTTTGACGTTCTATGTAAGAAAGTTAAGATGATCTGGTATTATTCCGTCTCTACCGTTACTGTTTGTTAATTCTTGTATTCTGCCTATACTTCTATACTGTTCCTCCACCTGAATCTTTCCCGGGCTACTTAAGAAAGACTTTGTTATACTGCGTAGGGCGCTGAAAGCCATCAGTAGGGCAAGTGGGATTTTGCTGAACCAGTTTGTTAATACTATTGTAGATAGACACAAGGATTCCTGCAAGAAATTAGCAAATATTATCCTGTCAGACTCTGGACATCCTCTGCAAACACAACTCTCTCCTTGCATCTCATCGTGTAGAACTAGAAGCAACTATAGGAGACTGTATGCTGGAACGATTAAGTACAAAAACTCTACAATACCTTATTTAGAGCATATTTTATGTGATGAGAAAAGTGTAAGACAGGAAATTACCAAATACTGAGGGACTCTAAGTAAACAGCATTGTTTTTTGTTTACAATATTACACTGTCGCTAATATTTTAATTTAATTTTAATTTTACATTCACTTCTTATTGAACAATATTATTAATGTAAATTACTATTAATGTAAATGGCCTACTTTAATTGTTGCTCCTGTAATGAGGAAATTAGATGCAATATTGTATTACACATGCTGAAAATTCCATATTTGTAAGAAAAGTACAGTTTGGAATAAAGCCGTAATTATCATTTAAAACAGTTAGTTCCCTTTATGAATTTAGAAAAAGCAATAAGAAGACGTAATTTGTCTGAATCGTGTATTGTGTATTTGCGCAACACATTTCGAACAATCTGATCACATACGGACTTGTCATAGGAATATATATGAAATTAATAAAGAGGTGAGAAAATAGACTTAGGTCAAGTTGAAAGGACATATTCAAGGTCAAAGTAACAATGAAGACCACTAAACCAAATAACAGAGGTAATAGTACATCTGCTATGGTGTCAAAACAAAATTTACCAAGGAAGGTTTAATGTGATGACGAATTGTTTTTGAACACATAAAGGTGGCTAGGGCTTCCACAAACTTTAGGATACGCCCCAAACACGTTTTATAGATCGGTTTAAAAGATCTGTTGACGTCAATTTTATGTCTTGTCTCTATGATATATTTCGCAATAGAGGTGCTAGGTCTCCCGTTCTCACCATTAATAGGTTCCGGGGATTCTGTTTGCTCCTGATGCCATTTAGGAATATGCTCTGAGGCTAGCGCTTACTTATAGAGATCGATGAGTCCTCCCTATATATGTATGGCCACACGTACATTCAAATTGGTAAATACAGTGGGATGTGACATCATTTTTCGCATATTCTAAGGGCTTAGATGGATATGTGAGCTTCACATTCTCAATTATTACTGTGACCTTAACTTCATAAAAGGTCATTTTAACCTCAACGTTCAATCTTTGTTGAGTTACCAAGCTGCTATTATCACCCATGTAGGGTAGCCTGATACATACGTCTTTCTTAGTAACGAGTTGGAGAGTGGGTCTTGGTGTTCTGTCTAGTTGATATCTCCTGATGAAGTTGTCTGGATAATTATTATCAGTCAGAGTTTGTGTCAATTTTCTTTCTTCCTCATAAGATGTGTCTTCAGTGCATATTTGTTGAGTTCTACTGAAGAGGCACTTCGCTCACTAAGGCTCTTTTGTACCGAACAGGGCAGAAACTGTCCTGTTCAGGTAGGTTTTCTGTAAATACATCATTTTACTGATCCATCAAGCCGTCGACTAAGCAATATATCTAGGAAAGATAAACAGTTATCTTCCTCTTTTACTGAGTTAAGTGATACGCTATTCTGAACTTCATTCATTCGATTTAAAATTGAGGTGGCAGAACAAGACTTATCACTTATGATTACAATATCATCTACATACATACGGAAACAATCGCCTTTAAATGTGCGTCGGTGGCACAGTGGTTAGGACTCTCGCCGACCATGCACATGGTCCGAGGTTCGATCCCACTCCGACGCACACCTGATATCTATGGTCGGCCTGCTAAATTTGGGCTACAGATATCACACCCTGAAAATTCCATACTTGCACCAAAAATACGCTGTGGAATCAAGCTATAATAAAAAAAAATTGTTAGTACATAGAAGTAATAAATCCCTTAAATAAGATATAGGGAACGGGATGAAAACGTTATGTGTGGGAATGTAATCACAGAAAATGTCAATTGTTTTAAGTAAAGGCAAATTAGTGAATAAAGAGTTTACATCAAAAGAATGTATATTTTTATTCATTATATTAATATCATCAAGATAATTAATCAGTTCAAATGTATGTTTAAATACATACTTACAGAATTGTGTTTTGACTGGGTTGGATGCAATAATTCTACTAACCATTTAGCAAGTTTATGCGTTGGAGATCTGCACACTGACAATATAGGACTTAGAGGACTATTGGGTTTATGTGTTTTTGGTAAATCATACATGTGTGGGAATTTACATTCTGATGGTTTTAAAGAGTCAAATGTATCATTACTTATAGCATTTAAGCCAAGAAGCTTCACTAGATTAGCTGTCACTGTGTCTTGCAACAACTGAACATCTCAAGAGGGATCACTGCTGAATTTGCTTTCATCATCAAGAACAGATAACATTTTGGATTTGTAGGCATTTTTGTTCGTGATGACGACTCCAAAACCTTTTTCAGGTTTCGTAATTGTTAAATTATTATTATTATGCCATAAAAGTTTGTTTATTAGATGTATCACACAGTGAAACAGTATTATTTACTGGATGACGTTTCGAACAAAATTTATTGTTCCTAATCATATCAACTATAATCACACGACTTCGAAACTTTAGCTTTATAGTTTTCTTTGTCCTCTCCTATTTGTCTTCGTTGCGGTAGTAGAATTTTCCAGATATCTGGGCGAACAGGTGTTGAATCATTCCTATTTCACGTGTTTGCAGCTGATTCGATAAACAAAGCTTCCGTTGTCAATCTCTCCCTCCACCCTGTTACATTAGATTTTAAAACTGTCATCCTGTCCCCTCTTCCTACTGTATGGTTGTGTGTAATTGCATGTAGTGCTATCTATGGCCGAACTATTCTCTAGATTTCTTATCTTATTCGGGTCAACTAATCAAGGTTTTGCTGGGTTTTTATGCTCCCCTAGTCTGACTGCACCTGTTTTACTACTCTCACCTATGTATTTGATCCTTTAACCGACAAAGCTTGTTTCTAATTGAGTTTGTGGGTTTAAGTGCCACTTTTATTCCTGCCTTGTTAAGAATTCTGCGTAAGGTTTCCTAGGTTCCTTCCTTGTATGGAATTACTACTGATGATTTAGATTCCTTATGGTTGGTGTTGTCTTGCGCATATTTGACATGCATGTCGTCATTATTATTATTATCACTATCACTACTATCATTATTTATTTTATTTTTACATCTCCGTACATATTTCTTGACTAATTTATCGGGGTATTTATTAAGTTTCAAGACTTCTTTGATATGCCTCACTTCCTTTCTTAGATTTTCCTTCATACTACTTAGTTTTTGTGCTTTGTCACTTAAAATTTTCACGAATCCTATCAAAACCTTGTCATCCAGTAAATAATACTGTTTCACTGTGTGATACATCTAATAAACAAACTAATATGGAATTACTTACTACCACAGTGCCCAAGTTTTACACATATATTATTATTATTACCCTACTCTTAATGAGATATTCTGACCTATGAAGTCAACTGAGTTAAATGCGATTATCATTCTCATTAAATCAAAAATTCTTAATTTGCAAATTAATTCGTAGTATCCTCAGTTCCAGGAGGTGAAATTTCACCACAGTTTCCTTTTGAGACCAAAATTATTCAGATCACAATGTGTGATCTTCTTGAAAAAAACATGCATTAATGCTTGACACTATATCCACACCCAGTGACTGACCGAAATGATGAGTACAAAAGGGATTTTTATAATCCATTTACTTACATTTTCATTAATTTATTGTGAATCCCAGGATTTTATATCATCCTTATACCATGTTACTATATTTTGTTTCATAAGTCGTACACAGAGAGGTGATCGTCCACTTTGCATGATGGAAGATTTGACCAAGTAGTTGAGAAAAGCTGAAGTTAAGATACTAAAAAGTTCGATAATAAAAAGCATCTTATAGACTCAGGACATAATACTTATTCATGACGCTATATACTACTGGTTGACTGATTTGAGTAGTTGGATACCACTCGCATCGATAAGTAGTACTTGTCAAGCAGTCAGATCGAAGTGGTGTAAACACCGGATGGCTGTTTCACTTGTTTTGAGGCCGAGTACTTCAGCGGTGTACCTGCTTTGACTCAGCTCATGGAGCCAAATAAGTTCGAACCTCTTCGCTTCTCTCTACCTACTTGAGTGAACTGGTAATACCGTAGATCGATTTAACAATATGTAAATGAATTCGCATTAATTTTGATTAACATCATCCTATAGATCCCATTATGCTGCAAAGTATTGGTCACTGAGTCCTTGTGAATCACTAATTGAATAGCATGAGATACGAATGCCATTAGCACTATATCATACTCAGTGGTAGTTGCTTTGTACTGCTGAAAAATCGTATAATAATAATTATTATTATTCCCATGGGTTCCAAGTGGAATGTAGGGCCTATCTCCATTTCATCCTGTTATTTATAGTCCTGTTTTGCTTGCTCCACAATTGGCCGTACGCTTTTATCTCCTCCTCAAACGATCTCCTCGAAGTCAGTCCCGGATTCATTCTCAACTATCCGCTTTCCATTCGAAGTTCCACCCGAGGGATTGCTGTTGCGCATTGTCATTCAACAGCTTCCACAGCATATGTTCCGATCCATCTCCAGTTTCTTCGACTTATTTGTCTGGGGATAGATTGTTGGTTGTTTCGTTACACTGACAAAATTCTTTGTTTTTAATCCTTTCTAGTGTGGAGACTCTTAGGAAGGAGCGAAACGATCAGTTATTCGGTGATCTTCGGTGTAAATGACCAAAAGCGAATTGTTGTGAAGTGAACACAGGAAACCAATCTATGCCTTCTACAGTAGAGCTGATCAGAACAGGCAGTCCCAAGATGGCCCAAAGACAGAAAAAAGACAGTTGTTTGAGATGAAATCTACTCTACTATTTAGCAGCAATAATAACATATCAAAAACTCAAAATCACCTCAACTATGCCTTTAAGCAACTAAATAAATCAGAAAGGTTTCAAGCACAAAAAAGACACTGTGGAACAAAATTAGTTAACCAAATATCAACTGTAAGAAGTACCTTAGAATCAAGTAGAATATTCTCAACATGGTGGGATCAAAACTCTGTTAGCGAGAATCATACACCAACAATTCCCGCAGACAGTCCAAGGTCAGAATGACCCTGAATCACTCACAGTTGCAGTAGGAAAACAAAATATCATCAATATCATCATCATCGTGCATCGGTGACACTGTGGTGGAACACTTGACAACCACGCCTCATGTGGTCTGGGGATCGATTCCCGGCCGCCGACGCAATCCTTTACCTCACTAAGCCACTTATTAGACTGGTAAAGAGGGAAGGTTAGGCTAGGAGCCCTATCCCGTAGAAAATAAACACCACTGCTATCGAAACTTCAAGCCTCTAGCTTGAAGCCACCGTATGTTCCACTGGGAACGTTGAGGAATAAAAAAAAATCATCCTCATCAGATAACCACGCAGACAGGCATTAAAATTTAACAGTTAAACAGAAACAGGGACAAATAATGAGGATCAAGTCAACATATGGTGCTCAAATGTCAGGGATTCTCCAAACAATTATTATTCCGTTACATTTAACTCTAGTTGATACCTGTCTAACATGAAATCTTTTTTATTCTGTCTTGATGACGATTATCACATTTTCAGATTATTTAAAATATTGTTATGTATATATATATTTAAAATTTAAGGAAATACTATCCTTTATGTCGCCATCATTTAAAATAGTACTCTTAATTGGTATCACTCATGAAACAGTTAATATTTGAGTCTAATATTCTAACATATATATGCTACATAGGCTTATATATGCTTCAATAAACACACTACTTTGCTATCGTCAGTGTATTTCTATGCTCAAGAGTGCAGTTGTCGTCTCATTCCATCTATTATCCTATGTTTTTTTAGAATAATATTATTATTTACTAATTATGAAATAAGTAATCAAAGGAAATCACGTGAAAAAAACACCCATTAAGGGAAGTAATCTAATGTCTGCGTAAACAAACAGGAACTAACTTATCAGTGAATTGTTGTTATTGAGTAATTTCCTAATGATTATTTGTCGTTTATGCACTAGTACTACTACTACTTCAGTAGAACCTTCTGTTGAATTGATTCAACAATTTAATATATACAGACGAATAGTAATTTATCTTTGGTTTTGTAATTTTTCAAACATTTTGATTCAAATTCATACAAGAGCAGGGGATAAAACAACAATTAGATGTTGTCACCAAAAGCTAAGTGTTCTTGTGTTCATTAAGCATGATGTGTAAATATATATATATGTACCGGTTAAATTATTTTCAATTAGGGAAATAGTTTTACATGTACAGTATTACTGTTATTTATTTTGTACTCATGCTTTATTGTAAACTTTTTCTCTATCAGTCAGTATCAAAACAAGATATTATTTTATTTGATTGTTATTATTATTATTTGAGACATAAAGTTATCATCAATGATATGTAAATCCAGTTAATATTTAAACCTTTAAATAATTAAGTAAATTTATCCTGATTGAGTATTAAGCAGTGTCGATTATACGTTCATGGATTAGAACTTTATTCATATGCCGTATGGTTGCTGATATGAATGTTACTCTCTGGCATAAAAGAGAATGGTGACTGACTAGCAGTGAAATCCATCAGAATGCGCATTTAGTCTTATTTGGGACTTAAGAGATTCTGGATTAACCCAACTCTTACTCTTACGATTCGTTAACTCTTGAATCCTGCCTATTATTCTCTATTGTTCCCCCTTAGTTTTTCCCGGGCTACTGAAGAAGGACTATATCTTATTACGTACGTAGGATGTTAAAGGTTGTCAGCAGGGTAAGCAATGCGCCACTTAACCAGCTTGTTAATATTCTGGTTGACAGGCACTTGGACTCATATGAAAAATGGGCTAAATCAATTCTATCTGACTCACACCACACTCTTAATTCACAATTCTCCCCTTGTATCTGATCAAGCGGGACCAGAATCCTATACAGAAAACTATATGCTCGCACTAGCAAGTACAAAAACTCAACCATACCCTACTTAGCTCGTGTTCTGTGCGATGAAGAAAGCATTAGGCGTGAAGCTTATACCTTATGAAATAGTCAGTAGAACAATTGGATCTCGTCTTTCCAAGTCATATCATTTATAGGTACAACGTTTTCTTCCTTTCTTTTCCTTTTCTCTCCCTTTTTTGCTGTGCTTTTTTGTTTCTCTCCTCCTTACAAACTCTACTTAAAACATTCTTCTTTGTTCTTTCACACTGTGTATATCTCGACCTTTTTGTTACCGCTTACGCCAGTAAATTTGCTAGTATCTACTTATCTAACACTTTCAAACATTTTGTTCACTTTCGGCTTTGCTACCGATATGCTAATATGTTGTTGTCAAAACTAACTGAGATTACCCATAATCTATGTAGAATTTTATTTATTGTTAATGTACAAACTGGATGCAATAGTGTAGTAAAAATGCTGAGAATTCCATTCTGTATCACAAGTACTGTTTTGGAATAAAGCGAATTATTATTATTTAGTCTTATTTGGGACTTATCATCTAGATGCATCTGTATTGAATAGGTTTGAATGCCCCCCTAATTCCTGCTTTGTTAAGAATCCTACGTAGAGTCTCAGATGTCCCCTCCTTATATGGTGGAACTGTAGGTGCCTTATATTCTCTCTTATATATGTTATCATTACTAGTTTCACAATTATTTATAATTTGCTTTTGGCCTTTTTCGGTCTTCCTAATAAATTTTATAGGATAGTTATTGAACACCAACGCTTCTTCTATCTGTTTTATTTCATCATTTAGGTCTTTTCTTGTGCTACTTAGTGCTATTGCTCGGTTTGTTAGGCACTTAACTAAGCCTGCCTTAACAGTTAACGGATGAGATGAATTAAAATCTAAATATCTATTAGAATGCGTTGGTTTTTTATAAACGCTAGTGGGCAGTTTACCCTCTTCTATTCGTTTTGATTTTATAATCTAACAGCTAATTCTTCCTGTTCATTTTTCGATTCAAATGTGAATTCCGTTCCCTCTACTATTGAGTTTATATGTGCCAAAAAGCTACAGATATACTCTGTTTTTAACACTGTTAGTGAAAGTGTCATCCACATATCTCCACCGTATTTTTGGAGTGGGATTAAATGTATTAAGAGCTACATTTTCCCAGCTATCCATAAATATATCTGCTTGGATTGGGGATATTTTGTTGATCCATCCCATTGCTACACTTTCTTTTTGTCTATACATTTTGCCCTGGAATTTAAAGCTTAGTAGTAAATACCATCCTAATTCTACTAGACCACTTGGACCACGAGATTCACGTCTTGTGACACGAGCATCAGTTATTTCGGTCCAGTCAATCAACATAGAAATTAAAATTGAATTAAGAACAAATAATAATAGGGGAATATTACCTGTTGCGCACTTTTCGATTAGTATGCTACATTTTACTCAGTTACAATATTACCTGTAGAAGTGTATAAATTGAATTCGACAAGATTTGTTTTGTTTCGCCCTGCGTAGTTGTTTTTCTGTATCACTCAGAATGCTTATGCTCCCATTTAAGATTTGAATAACCTTCCTTCAACAGGTGTAAAAGTAACAGACTGTACTGTGGAGCCAAAGCAGGCGTTGAGTGTTAGGTAAGGTTGGTTTAGTTAGTCGGTGAGGTTCTGTAAAGCTGCATTACTTGAGATAGCTGGGAAACTTGTTGTTCTCTCCACGTCGAAAGGCATTAGATGATAGAGGATTAGGTTAAAAGAGAGTTGGGGATAGCTTAATCGAAACTTTGCTTCATTCCATAAAAACTTTGACAACTGGTTTTAGCCAACCATATTAGGGAGGTACAGATTACCTGGTTGGGATATTTTGGATGTTATGAACTACTACCTGGAGGCTTTTAGTAATATGTCTCAAATAGTTCTCAATAGCTCCAATTCATTCACTTTATGTAGTCTCCCAGATTCATCAAGCCCTCGTGTTTTTCCATATTACTATTCTTTCCCTCATACATCTCCACTCATTATAGATCTTTTGAATCTCTGTTTTCTGTCGCTTTTCTTTATTAGTCGGAGTATTTCATCCTGATCTGACATCATTTAGAGAGCTATTGGAAAACCTGGGAGTACTGGATAGCCAGCTGTTTCCTCCTAGTTTGGGGCTCTTCAGCCTTGCGCACCCACCGTCAGGGTTCCAACCCAAGAACTTCTGGTTACAAGGCTAGCGAGCTCGTAGACCATCTTAATATTCTATACGGAGTGTGGCAACTTGAACTAGTGCACTTATAAGCAAACTCCTACGTTGAAACGTAGTCAGTTAGTCAAGGTTAAAGACTCAGTGATTTTTCATTGTTATGCGTAAGTTTTATCACTTTCCTTAAAAATAGAAAATAAATAATTTCAGCGGAAATATCTTTTATTTGTGCGATTTTATTCTCAATACTGTACAGTCGCAATTATTATTATTATTATTTAATTTCGAAGAGTTAGTCTGCAGGGATTTGGTTGATTTCGTGCTTGATCACGGGATGATATTAGTTAGAGAAACACTGAGAGCCGGGAAGTACTAGACAAGTGTTTCGTACTAGTTTGAGACTCTTCATCATTAGTACGCGCTCGTGTCAAACTTAAGACCTTCACACAATGAGGCGAGCTGTTTGACCTCCCAGACACTGGGATGGAATACAGTGGTGCATCAATTCTAATTACTGTCAATTCGCGAATTTTAATGTGATCGCTAGCCAGTGTCATTGGCAAGTATTTGTTCTCATGCCTGACCTGGTGAACTCCCCTGATCACGACATCTCACCAGAAGTCTAGGTAACTTCGTGAACATAGGATCCATTTCCAATTGTTAATTCGGAAGGATTTAATTAGTTTGAAGTTTGATAATGGGTTAGAAGAAGTAGATAGTAATTTTTTCACTTGATGTGAACATTTAAAAATCTGCTTGAAAGATGAATGTTAGCTACAAACGGTATAAAAACCAGATTAATACAAGCT